GAGACGCGGGAGGTGTACAGGCCGAATGTGGCTATGTATGATAAGCCCGGGATGGAGGAGGCAAGGGAAGCGCAGGCGCCCGGGACGCCGCTGGCTTTGGACAAGCTGTCGATTTTCTCGGGTGCGTTGTTCCTTTCTCACTTACTTGCTTACGGTCGGTAGTGATTTCTTCGGCATAGGCCAGGACGAGCAGTTTGCGTACAGACGCGCGTTGTCGCGCCTGGTCGAGATGACGAGCGCGAGCTACGCGCGCGAGGAGCGGTGGGCGCCGCTGCCGCTGAGCGCCCGGAAATGGGAAGACACCGCCGCTGGACCAGATAATCGCGCTTCGGTGGGCACCCGGGCTTCACCCCGACCGTCCCTACATGTTCAGGACGACTTTGCCGGCGAAGCGGCATATGAGCGGACAATGGCGATGCGGGAGCGTCCAAGTGCGCCGCGGATGAAGGAGGAGCATGTGTGGGGAGTCAGGGAGGACTGGGGGGAGAAGGCGAGCGAGTGGGGAAGGGGCGTTGCAGCGTATCGCGGGAGGGAGGGTACGGGATCGCGGTGAGCTGCTTCGCGATTGTGCAGACTCCTAGGGGTGCACTCTGGTGTCGCCGGTATACTGGATCCTGTTGACTTTGAGGCGCTCATACGTGTCCTGTCTCAGCCTTGCATTCGAGCCCAGCGCCGCCGCGAATTGGGGTGCTGCGGGACGGCGGGAAGGCGCAGACAGCTAAAGCCACAACTGCGATTTTGCGGATACGCTTATGGACACTTGGATGAAGATGAAGGACGACTCGCATGCGTGGACCACCCCGCAAGACTTGTCTCGGACCCACCAATGTCTGCGATGCTGTGGACCGGGAGCAGGCACAGGCAGATGCTGCTCCAATTTTGCGGTCACATTCATGGACACCTCGGGTGAACATGAAGACAATCGGTATATGCGGTCCAGCCCCCAAGGCTCCTCTCCGCCTACCAATCTCTGCAGTATCACCCAACACCATTCTTTGGTGCGACATTGACAGATGATTGGACACTCATGAATAGTGGCTATGCCAGGCTATATGTGACTGTCTCTCCGAGCCATCTCGGAGATCTCGCATCCTAATGAACAAGAGAGCGCACGAGCGTGAACTGGAGGCTCTGTGTCTGGGGCGTCCCGTCCTGACCAGCCAGGCGGCCCAGGCCCCCCGACCCACCGGTACCTTGGAGATATCGTGTCCAGTACCCTAACCACCTACCTACGCTGACGCGAATCTACCCAACCCAGACCTTGACCGAATTCTCCTTTACCCCAATCTTCATGAGGTGCAATGTGTTCTCTCAGACGTAGTGCACGATGGGTCTCGAATCGCCCCGGGTGGCTGTGTGACACGGTCGTCCTCAGCACTGCCAGTACGGGAAGCTGAACGCACTCTGTAAGTAGAGCCCAATCACACTCTTCAGGCCTCAAGGAACACACATCCGCCGGAGAATCGGGAGTGTGTTCCTGATTGATTGCACTTTGGCACTCGCCTGAGATTCGGGAGTGCGTTCGTGATGGCACCTTTGCACTCGTTTAGGTGTTCCTCCCCTTGGGTGCATCGATGGGAGGCACGCTCTCAAAGGAACCATTTGTTGTCGTCTGTCTAACTTTCTGATCGTATTGCCACCGCTGGCGATATAACTTGGTCGCATTCAAGGTGACAACCTTGCATTCTAACCTTCGTATCTCTCCAGTTCTCTGATCGTCGTCGCCGGTATTCATTGCTCATCCATGACATCGACTTCAGATCCCGGATGTGACAACCACATAACGGCGCTCGCGCCCGAGCTTTGGACTGAAATCTTCGAGGCTGCCGCCTACGTCCCTGGAGCGCTGCAGTCCGAGTCGTATGACCCTTTTGGGCGCGTCATCCCTCTACCGCAGGACGAAGAAGTCGCTGCTGTAAAGCAAGCCAATAGCACGGCGCAGTCCTTGACACTCGTATGCAGGCGTTGGCGGGAACTCGCCTCACCGATCCTGTATAGGATTGTTGTAGCAGAGGGCACTGAGGGGCTTCAACGCCTCCACAGGACCCTGGTGTCCGACTTCCAGACATCTGACGTCGGCCCGTCCCTCCGAGCAAGTGTCCGCAGATTCATCTGTGTTCTGGCTACGCCAGGGGACCCCCAACCACCCGACTTGAAGCTACTCGCAGAGCTAATCAATGCAATGCCTGCCCTCGTCATATTCAACTTATGGTCGGACAACAAGTACAGCATACTACTCTCTTCGAAAGATGTGCTGTCGGCCACGGCATCACGAGGGGAGACCCTCCGCGTCCTTCATTGGACACCTGGCTGTGAAGATGCTGCTGATGTAGGGGAGTGGAGGCAAATGTTATCGTCCCTGCCCAACCTCAGAATCCTTAGGCATGACTGGGGTCCTTATTTACCCGAACAGATATCCTTTCCTCCTTTGCGACTTCCACACTTGACATGCTCGTCCTGGGGCGACATTCAGTCTGCAGGCCGTCTGACACCGGAAGATGAATTGCCGGCACTACGAACCCTAGAATTTCGGACCCACTTGCCCAACGTCCCTTCTAGTATATGTGATAATATCACTTCACTATTGGTGCCGGCACTGGAGATCGATGTTAGGATGCATGTCAAGGAGCTACTTCGCAAATTACCCAACCTCGTCCACCTCGTGATGTGGTCACCAGACTGGAGCTTTCTCCCCCGTGCGCTCTCCCTCCCGATGATACAGAAATTGGGCCTTAGCGCGTGGAGAACAGAGCGAAGCAGTGACAGGGAGTACGAGGATCTCTTTGAGACACTGTTTTCCATCAGTGCACCAGAGCTGCGAGTGGTGCGCCTCATTGGTTGGAAGGAATGGTCAACTCTTCCGCTTGTGGCCCCTCAAACGGTGTCTCGGTTTCAAGAGTTGGCACGGTCCCGTACTTTCAGGGTAGAAGATACGGACGGCAGGCTTTTGTCCGACCTATTGGGCCTCAAGTAGGGAATGCGAGAGAAGTTGGTGAGTCTCGTTTCCCTGTTTCGTCCATGTGCCATGCTACAACTATCTAGGGCGAGGGTCTCCCAACTCAAGCACGTTTTTATCGTGAGTGTGCTACGAAGCGCATGGATGGGGTGCGAGTGCACTGCGAGTTACCCCAGTATTTCCCTCCCCATTGGCATGGCCCATTCCGTCTTTGCTCTAAAGCATCCCTCCATTTCATCATTTCCTTGCGGACATACCCGGTATGCGCTGTCCCTAGTATTGGCACCGAGGTCCTCACAAGTATTCCCCATGCACATTTCTCCACTTCAGCAAAGACTGCATATCTATTGGGTGTAAGCTAGTGACTATGTTATGTGGTATTGTTGATTGTGAAGAAAAGATGTCACACTTAGGTAGACTGCCTGCGAGTAGCCGATGAAAATGAACGGCGAGGGCTCACTATAGAGTTCCGAAACTGAGGGGTTCCTGGCCCATGTGCATCGCGGATGCGGAGCCCGAGACACTGGAGGAATGAGGGAGAAACAAGATAGACCCGCTGAATGCGAAGACATTCTCCAGTCACTTTACGCTTCGCCAGAGAAGTCGCACAGCGCATGAAAGGGTGGTGTCTGGGAGGTTTCAGAAGAAGTCTGCTGAGCTGCTATTCGTTCGTGGCAACAGCCATCATCCCGGAATCACTCCCATGGCATACCATGCCACTTGCCAGTGTTCCGGAATGGAGTGCATTTAGAGCCCGGTCATGGGCTGTTGAAGTACGGACTTCGCGGTGACGCTGCTGGTCATATCACTGCAGTGCAAAAAATAAGTCGTCGAGTACAGTTGGTCACGAGATACACTGGATCTCGAAAACGCGTTGAGTTGACTTGAAGGTGAGGCACGTAATACACCCATTTGTTTTTGTTCCCTGGCCACAGTGGCTCATATGGATGCTGTAGCTTTCCCTATCGTGCCACAGACAAGATTTGTAATCTCGACTCACTTGTTGAATGCCACATCTCCCAGGTCTTTTAATTTGGTCATCCCACAATGACCTCAACCGTATATCCCGAGCGGGGACCGGCAGGAAATGTTGACGTAGCGCTCCCACCTGAGCTGTGGCCTCATTCTTCGCGACCTATATTCCGGGAGTGCTGCAGACCCGGTCGTATGACCTTTTCGATGGGTTGTTCCTCTTCCGCGAACTGAGGAATTCTGTGCCCTGAAGCATGCTTACAACCTGAGAGCGCTCATTAGTACTCGTTTGCAAACATTGGCGAGACCTCGCCTTGCCGATCCTGTACCGAGTTGTCGTCGCAGACCGTACTAAGGGGCTCATACGCCTGCACCGGACCCTGGTGTCCGACCTCGACCCCGACGAGACTCCCTTGCTGTTCGATCCGCTTGCAGATGTTGTCAAGTCAATCCCTACCCTTGTCATATTGTTTTATGCTTGGAGGACACGATATTCTATTCCGCACCAGACGACGTGCTGTCAGCCCTTGCCTCGCAAGGCAAGTCCCTTCGAGTCCCGGGATGGATCTGGCTGATGAAAGTGATCTGCACAACTGGAGGTGAATGCTGTCGTCCCTACCGGGCCTGATCATGAGGATACGTAGGCATGGCTATAGGCCGTTGTCCCTCAGCACAACTTTTCAACTGGTACGACTTCCTAACCTAACTTTTTCAACTTGGGATATCATTGGCAAGTATGGTTGTCTGACGCCTGAAGACGATTTGAGGACACTATAAGCCCTCGAGTTCCTCTCCGACGCGCCGCCTGTGCCTTTGCATGTCAGACATAATATCACTTCCCTCTCGATACCAGTGAGGCCGCGGAAGTGCAGGCGCGTATCACGGAAGTACTTTCGACGTTTTTCAACGTCGTCCGCCTTGTGTTGTGGTCGTTGCATTGGTCCATCATTCAACACAGACTCTCCCCCCCGAGCAAAGGGAAGTTAGGTCTTTGTCGGTGGTCTAGACCAGCAGGCAAGGATACGGAGTACGTTGATTTGTCTGAGAACCAGTTTTCGATGCATGCGCCGGAGCTCCAAGTCGTACGGTTTGTCGGGTGGGATGAGTGGCCAGTTCTTTCGCATCGAATCACCAGCGATATCACAGTTTCGGGGACTGGCCCCATCTCGCACTTTCAGGGTAGAAAACCGGGATGGTAGGCTTTTGGCTGATTTGTGGGGACTGTTTGGCTGCGGAATAGTCACTGGAACGGTAGATCATGGATCCCTTATAAGGGCGCAATGCCTCGGCTCCTGGCTGTGGCCCCCGTACTGGTGTTAGTCGGCAATGTCTGAAAGGAGTCTCCATCCCCTCTAGTTAAGAACGATAACATTGTACCTCTACAAGATCTTCACCGATGTCATAAACCAATCAAGCTGCCAGTCCGGGAGAGCGCTCTCACATTCGTTGCTGTACCTACCTAGATCGGCCACAATGATACGTTTAGTCAAGATCGACGAATATTCTTTCATTCTCACTCACATGCCTTAGGAGATGAAGCTAGGTTGTGGCGGATCTAATTTCATAATCGGCGATCGTCTGCGTGAAATCCCGTCAGGCTGCAACATGTCGATCGATCCTTTGGAGGATTTGTGGGAGACACCCTCTCTGCGATCCAAAGACTCGAAGGTTTTGCCAGACAGAATACTTGTGGTATTTTTCGTAGAATGACCAGACACCTTGCAGAGCCAACGCAGCGGAGACTGCGTCTGTGGGCACAAAAGGGGCCGAACAAAGAGCTACTTACCAAACTTGAACTTTGTTTAGCGCGCGTCGGCTGTTGACCGCAACATGCTACCTCCTTCATGACTTCCGTCGAAACTATCTTTTCCATCGGCTTAGGCCTCGGTCTGCGAGGCCTAATCAACCTTGTCGCGGGCTCAAATACTACTTTGTCCGGAATCCTTATTGGCCTTTGGGAGGGCGCCGTTCTGCATCATCTAGCGCACGCTTCCCGCTCTCTAGACCCGTATGTTTCGTACGCGCTACGAGTCGTTATTGACTACTTCTGGACGGACGATGCACAGAGGCTGGTAGTAATACTGCTATGGACAGGGCTTGGTATGCTGCTGGCAGATGTGTGGCCCGCCCTGTCGTACGTGGTCCTCCGCATTGTCTACCGCTGCTATCGCGAAGCCCGACGCGCCATATACTCCCTCGACTACCTCGTATCCACTGCGTCCACCATACCTTCGCGTGTGCGGTATTACGCGGAATCGTCCGCGTCTAGCACGACGGGTTCGTCGGTCAGCGTGCGCAGGCAGCCTCGCCGGATCACTTCGCAGCCTGTACCCGGGGCGTACACGGAGACGTCGACCGTCACCGACTACCAAGAGTCAGAGTATGGCGGCGGAAGTCCCGCGCACTTCCGGCAGTGGGAGGTGCCTCCCGGTGGGGAGAACGAGATCCTGCTGACCCCGCTGGACAACGACTCTGAGCGTGGCTCGACCGTGAGCGCCGCCCCCACTCGCTCCCAAGCACCCCCAGTTCACGAGCGGACGCACGATTATGTTTACGAAGCAATGTCCCCTACGAAATCTGCGAGGCCAGAATATAGGCTCCGTGATGAGCACGATACTGCGTCCCAGGCAGCGCCTTCTATACGACGTGCTCCGTCTGCCGCCGCTCGTTCCGTTGCTGCGAAATCTGAGAGAGCGCCTTCTGTGGCCGCGCGGTCGGTGAGAGAACCGTCCGTCGTCGCGCCTTCGGTGAAGGAACCCTCAAGATATGCCCCCTCGGTGAAGGAGCCGTCCATTGCGGCTTCCTCGGTCAAAGAACCTTCCGAGATTGGACCCTCAGTCAGGGAGCCTTCCATTGTTGCCCCTTCAGTCAAGGAACCATCGGTTGTCGCCCCTTCAATCAGGGAGCCCTCCATCCGGGCACCCTCGGTCTTCGCACCATCCGTAGCGACTCCCTCTATCGTCGCGCCCTCCTCCGTCCCCGCTTCCTCAAATCCCTGGAAAGCGCAGTCCGTCGCGTCCCGGGGGACTGCGCCGCAGATGCCCCGGTCTCCTGCGTTTTCCATAGCCCCGAAGCAGGTCCCGCAGCCGCAACCGCGGTGGCAATCGCAACCAGAGGAGCAGGAGCCAGAGTCGCGCGTGGCGTCGCCAGATCCGCTCGATCCGCTGCAGACGCCGCCGATGACATACCAGCTACCGCCCATGCACGGGGTGTTCTCCGACGAGGACCTCAGCTCGCCGCCCGAGGGCCCGCCGCCACCGTTCAGCTTCGGCGCGGGCGGGGACGCACTGGGTCTTGGGCTCCAGGGATTCCAGGGCGGCGAGGAACATAGAAGTGAGGTGACGAAGGGAGATGAGGGGGAGAAGGAGAAGGTAGGTATGATGCCTTTCCCGTAGATGTTGATTGATGATTGTGCTTTAGGGAGATGATGCGGCATGGGAGATGATGAATGCCCCCGGCGAGGGCGAGGGCGAGGAGGGCGGTGAGACTGTTCCCCCTTCGGCTACGGAGGCACCGGCTGCTCCGGGTGAGGAGGAGGGGAAGAAGAAGGACGAGGAGGAGGAAGAGGAGGATTTCGGCATCGCGAAGAAAAAGAAGAAGGGGTCGAGGAAGAACAAGAGGGGAGGGAAACAGTAGGCCGTTTAGGTTCTGGAGGTTCAAATAGTGCTGATTATAATCTACAGGGGCGGCTAGAGATTCACTTATAATGACCAACTTGGATATCATGGAACGTGCATTCATGCTGATGTACAGTTAATGTTATCCGATATTTTATGCCCTTTGGATGACCCCCTTTGCTATACCTGGCACATGTTTGGTTTTCGCTTTCAATGGATGCTTTCGCTGTTTAGCTGTACATTTCAAGATCATGGCATATAGTAGTAGAATCTTGCAACAGATTGCGCGCCTTCCTATACCACAATTTCTTGCAGAATATTCACACCACTGAGGCTAATATTCGGACTGCTACTGCTTACTCAGTCACGCGTCACAGCTGGCGTTGAATTGAGTGTCGCTGAGCGCCCACACCAACGATCGCGGTCCTCCACCGCACTCTCTGTATCTTTCCTTGAGCTCTGGCTATGGCTTCCAACAACGCCTCTTCGCCCTCACAACAACGACCGCCCCAGCATGCGGTGCCGGCAGGCCTAGGCGGCGCTGCCACGGACAACATCGTGACCGCGCTCGGCCAGGCGTTCAAGACGCACACGGGCGAGCCGCTCTCGGGCGACCGCATAGCGCAGCTCTTGCTCGCGAATATGCCACAGCTGGGCGAGCTCGCGAAGCAGGGGAAGCTGAACCAGGCGCAGATTATGCAGGTTCGTGGGCAGTCGGTGTCTTGTGTTTGTGGCCGGGGGAGGTCACGCCGCGCCGCTAGGCACGCGGTGGGCTTTATAGCTGATCGAAGCGCGATGTCTTGTTTCGTTCCTTTGTCTTGACTCTAGCGTGGCGCGGCCACGATGTAGCTCGAGACTTCGTTATAAGAGACTGTTCAACGTCTGCTTGTGTTCCACACGTCCATCTCTTGTCCCTCCCCCGCCCGTCTTTGCTGTTATGCCGTTCAGCGCTGATGCTATCGCCGAACTTTTGCGTCGGTACCCACAGTTGAAGGCATACGCAGACGAGCACCGCTCGAAAGCCCCACAACAAGTCCTCAATGGCGCAGCCCCCTCACAACCGTCGGTCAGCGCGCCGACACCAGGGCCCGCTAACAAGGTGGCTAAGAACTTGGCAGCACATCCTGCGTGGCTACGTGTCTTACCAACGCATCGTTTCAGCCGGGCCTCAAGTCGTTCTCTGTAGACCCCATGTTGACTCCGCCCCCGACCCAAGACAGCAGTTCACCTGCGCCGAGTCCGTCAATAAATACGACTAACCCCGGGCCGGTGCAATGGCCGCAGGCTCAGCAGGGGCGACCGACGTTGACGGGAGGTATTGCTGGTGGAAGGGTTGCAGGTACGTTATTGCGGCGGAAATGTTGTTTCAGTAATAGCGTTGACTTCTTCGCTGTTCTTGCTACAGGCACCCCTGCTCAGATCGCGCGCACGGGGGACGATACGACCGTCTTGAATATGGATGATACGCGCTCGAGGAAACGGAGCACACCAGCCGACCAAAGTATGCGGAGGTCGATTCAGGATCTGGTGTCGAGTATAGATCCCAATGTCAAGATCGAGCCTGAGGTTGAAGATGTGAGTTCCTGTGTCATGTCCTTGGTCCGGTCTCCCATTGATGGTTTGGTCGCAGCTGCTGCTCGATATCGCGGACGAATTCATCGACTCGGTGACGAACTTTGGCTGCCGACTAGCCAAGCATCGCGGTGGTGACACGCTGGAGGTCCGAGACCTGCAACTCCATCTAGGTTACCATTCTTCTATGTGGCGATGTCTATCGCTGATGCTGACCGCTATGCTCAGAACGGAACCACAATATTAGGATACCTGGGTTCTCATCGGATGAGACGCGGATAGCGCTCTCGCAGACAAACCTGCCTGTTCCCACACCTGCGGTTCCTTCAGGTGCTGCAGCCGGCAAAAAGGGGGCTACCCAAGGCAACGCACATATGACGCTCCGGAGTCATAGGCTGGCTCAGGTTGGGCAGGCGAAGCGAGAGGCGAAGCTCATTTAGTTTTCGGTCGTACTGATGTCTTTCTATCGTCTGTATTCGCTTTCCTGTAATTTTATCGTTGTAGACATAGTACACCTGTAATTCTACCGCCACCATCTGCACTGTGACCAACTCGGGAGACGTCACGATAAACCGTTGCGGTACCCACGGTTTCATGAGGCAAGCATCTTACCCCGGAACGCTCATGATGGTACAGTAAAGACGGCGCTCATCGACGGCCTCGTGTATGTATACGACATAACTCTGTACGACCTGTCTTATCGCCTTTCTTGCTGTAAAAAATGCCTCTGCTCTGATGTCTTCTATGGAAAACCTGCTCGCGATAGGCCTCGGGCTCGGTCTGCGCGTCGTCGTCGACTACGGGAGCCGCCACAATGTCAAGCTCACCGGGACGCTCGTCGGGCTGTGGGAGGGCGCCGTCCTGCACCACTTTCTGGACAAGACGCCGCTCTCCTGGGATCCGTACGTCGCGTTCGGCTTCCGCGTCTTCGTCGACCTCATCGTCACGACCAACCTGCCGAGGCTGGCCATAACACTCATGTGGGCGAGCCTGACGATGATGCTTGCCGACCTCGGGACACGCAAGACGTGGTATGAATATCTCGCCAAGTTTGTGTACCGGCGGTACCGCAGGGTTCGTCGCGCCGTTAAGCGTCTCGCCGTCCCCGCCGTGCGTTTACCGATTCCCCCCATCCCCCTCCCAAAGCCGCCCGTGCCGTCCAGGGTCCGCTTCTACACGATCACGACGACGCCCTCGCAAACGTCTTCTACGCCGCCTGTGCCCATACCCCCGCCCGGTGCTGTACCGGTAGTTACGTCCCCGCCACGCCGTCATGTCCCAGGTCAATATACCGATACGGGCTCGGAGAGCAGCTCGGTGCATAACGATCTACCCACGGATACGTCTACGCCTGGCCCTTCCCCGCCTTCTGCGGATGGGCCGTCTCAGGAGGAGACGCCTGTCCTCAGAATCTTCCCGTCCTCGATGATGACCCCACCTCTCGAGAACGAACTGGTGCGGTTACCAGGCCCAGACCCAGATCGTACCCCAACTACTAGCATGTCTGCGCTCCCTCCTGTTGCTGGTCCTTCTTCGATCCCTCCGCCCATTATTTCTCCGCCGAACGACTGGGAGATCGAGCGCCCAGAACCGACACCAGTCGACGTCCCTCCTATTGGTGACATCCCCGAAATTCATCCCGTAGAGGAACCCGAACGCCGCAACGCTCCGCCTAGTAGACCCGCGTCCTCGATCCATCCTCCCGCTGAACCGGATCGCGAATATGTTCATGTTCAAATGCCTCCATTGCACGACATCCCGGACATGGAGCGCCAACGCAGCGAGTCCCAACCGTCGCTCAGAGTGCGAGCGCCGGAAGCGAAGCAAGTGCCAGAGCTGACCCCCGTTCCCATCTCAAACTTACGCAACATCCCCGATCTTCCCAGCACGTCAGAGGAAGAGCTCATCAAAAAGCCTGCTCCAAGCAACGAGTATCCTGACGAGAAGGCTAGAGAGCGGTTTCCTGGAGAGAGGTATCCTGAAGACGAGGAGAACCAGCCTGTCGCGTCCACGTCACGACTACAGACCGACCTTCCTCACTTACCCGCTCCCGTACGATTCAACCCCGACTTCGATCTCTTCGGCGAAGGCTGGGACAACCTCGGCACCCCTCCCCCTCCCTTCAAAGAGCGCGCCAGCTACATAGAGACGATCCCTTCTCAGCCCTCCCAGCCGGAGCAGGCCAGCTACATGGAGTCGATACCTTCCCAGCCGTCGCAACGGCCGGAGCGCAGTCCTACGCATCTCACCACTGCGACAGCGTCGCCCGGCCCCTCGCCACTTTCGGGCGGCTCGAGAAACTCTATCATCGCCAGGGCGGACTTGCTCCGGGACCAGGCGCTCGCGGAAGAGAGGGAGCGGGATAGGCTGAGGAGGGAACGGCAGGAGGCGCTTGATGAGGGGAGACCGAATCTCGCGCTGCTGTATAAATATCAGATTGAACAAGCTGATGAGAGGATCAGGAAGTTGCACCAGAAAGCTGCGAGGAGATACTTCCTTGGTAAGTCCTGTCAGTTCCCGTCTCAGTAATGGACTGCGTCTTGACATATCACAGCACACAACCAAACGCCCTTGCCAACGCGGACGATAGACGTGCATCGGCTGAGGGTTCCGGAAGCTGTCCGAGAGACCGAGAAAGCTGTTCGTGAGGCCTTGGTGACGGACGCGCGCGAAGTGCGTGTAATCACGGGCCGCGGAAACCATTCCGTGAATAAGATGCCTGTCCTCAAGATGGCCCTGCTGAAACATCTGCAAAGGTGCGTTCTGCTCATCTTGTGTCCTTTTATTGTCGGTCCTCATCCTTGCCTTGACAGCAACCATTTCCCCACACGCGTTGATCCAAGTAATCCGGGCGTGTTGATAGTCGATATCCCTGAGGAAGAGCTCCCATCGGACTTGCCGGACTTTCGGAACAGTTAGCTTTTCTTTCTTTCTTGACATTTCGTACCGTAAAGGTTTGGTTATGATGGTTTGTTACGGTCTCTGTTGTACTCTCCTGTTACATATTGTACAGGGTGCATGTACTTGTACTACTAATGTTGTCCTTGTCTGTCGCAGTGTTATCGGCTTATTTGTCTCGCTGACGCGAAGCCTCCAGTAGAGATCGACTGTGGTACCGAGCCGGCACAATTGTCGGCAGCATCCTTGTCCGCGGTGAGTTCTATGACGATGTCTGCGCCTATCTTGAAGGTGTCGTAGAAGTCGAAGTGACACCTTGATTCGGTCTCCTTTCCGTTGACTGTGACGCTCTTGACATAGGCAGATGCTCCATCAGGTATGGGGTTTGCGACTGACTGGGGGTCGTAATTCTTCACGGTGACTGTTGTGCTGACGTTTAGGTATGGGTTGTGGATGGTGTACTTTGGGACGAAGGGCGAGAGAATCAGGAGTTCAGTGGAGGAGGGCACTGCATACAGGTTAGTCTTCCTCGTTGAGTATTAGCACACGAACCATCCTTACCGGGATAGAGCCCTAGAAGATGGAACGACAGAAGTGTGGCCATCGCAGCCTGGTCGTCATTACCGGGTAGACCGGCGGGAGCTGCACAATCCGTCAATTACACAGCACACACCACGCGCATAGTGACCTACTTATGCCGAAGTTCTCGAAGACCACTTGGCGAACGCGGTCGACGGACAGCGTGGGCCGATTGGCATAGTGATAGCCAATGGGCGTCTACGAAAATCTTAGTATCGCAAGATACGTGTAGTGGTCATTGAAGACATACCTGGAAGGACGGCTCATTTCCAGCGAGATAATACCCAGCCTTGAATAGGAAGGTCAGCATCTAGGATCCATACTCTGTTCAAGGCGTCGGCGACTGACATCGAAGAAGTGGTCCAAACGGTTGATAAAGGTTTCCTGCACGACCTCGTCATCTCACGAACAAAATTCAACACAGTATGCTTACATTGCCTCCCATGAGGGTAACCAGGTGGGCCGTATCATGCGGCGCGAACCAGCTGTACTCCCACGACGAGGACTCGTAGAAGCCGTTCACGTTGTCGGCCTGGAGCGAACACTCGGTGGTGACGTTGTCCTGAGGGGAGCAGGTGGTCGGGTTCGTATACTTGAACGTGCCGTTCGAGTAGCGCTTCTGGGAGAAGCCTGCCCGTCTCGTATCAGTGCTGCATCGCATGCACGAGGTTGAGTCGTGGTATACCTTTGAAGCCGTCGCTGACGACGTTAGGATCCCAGACGTTTCGGTACCACTATGGTGCAATTTGTAAGCATCATGAATCTGACTCGGAAGCTCGGGACTTGCTAAGGAGCGGTTCGTGTAGTAGGCCTCGTCCTCGGTTTTGTTGAGGAGCTGTGCGACTTGGCGGAGACCAAAGTCTTCGAAGGCGTACTAGGATCAAGGGTGAACAATCGAACCGCGCTCGAAGACTGCGAAAGAGAGCATACCTCCAGTGTTCTGCTCCCCTCGCGCGTCTGCCGCCCAGTGCTGGCCGTGTCAAGCACCGCGAACGGCACGTATCCATATTCCCTATCAATATACCCAAACCTTCAGCATTTACCCGGGGGAGTCCCGATATCGTCATCAAACGCACTTGTACACGTTAACCTGCCGGCCCAGCGTATTCCACTCCGGCGGGTTGACCTGCGCGTCCGCCACCATCGCCGCGTACAGCTCCTGCAGGTCGATCCCGAGCGCTTGCGCCTCGTCGTGGTACGTCACAGCGAAGTGCGCCACTATATTGTCTCCGCTGGATCCTAAAATCGTGACGCAGGATGCAGGTTTAGGGAACCGACCAGGACAGAAGAGGGGAATTCAAGAGGGTTACTCGCCTCCCTGAGTCCACCCTGGCAGGTTATTGGCGCGGCACTCGGGCATCCAGCCCATCTTGCGGTAGCCGTCGATGTAGTTGTCCACGATCTGGGCGAACTCGACCGGGGAGTGGAGCGACATGAGCGGGTAAAAGGTGCGGTACTGTCGCCGATTCTTAGTATCATCATTCCCTGCCATATAATGCGGATCCTTACAGTGTCCCAGCTACCCAGCCCACGATTCAGAAAGTGCGGGTGATAATCGACTAGTGGCTCACCTGCAGTACAAAGAGTCGAAATAGTGCGCCGTCGTATCCGCAAACACGCCCTGCGTCTCATCCGTCGCATTGTTCTGCCCACCCACATCAGCCACACCCTCCTCACCTATGTTCATCACTCACCGGCGTCAAAAAGCTCCTATACAAACTACTGTACAGCATCTCCGTCACATTCTCCGGCGTCCCCGCCACATCAATCTCCACCCTCCCCAACAACTCGTTCCACAATCCCTGGCTCCGCTCCACGATCTCCTCGAAGCTCGCGTCACCGACCTCGCTCTCGGCGTTCGCGCACGCCTGCGCGGCGGAGCGGAAGGACACGCCGACGCGGATGGTGATTTCAGAAGGGGAGTCGGCGTACGAGAAGAGCGCGCCAGACTGGTAGGGCGTGCCCCCGATGAGGTTGCGCGTGAGGTTGAGGTGCGTGAGGCCGAGGCCTTTCGCGTCGAGGCCGTACCTATCGGGTGGGTAGCGCGGGGGGAGGGTTAGGTGGGAGGGGAAAGCGAAAAAAGAGGGAGGGCACGCACGAGTCTCCCGTCCACACACCCCACTCGTCCAATCTCTGCTTCCCGTTGTTCAACAAGTCATAGCACGCGAACGCCTGGTAGTTGTATATCCCCGGGCCGAAGCTCGACCCCCAGTACCCCCCAATAGTGATCCGCCCGGCAACCGGATCGATATCCATCGTCCCGCCCGCGAAGCTCGCGGGCAGGTCGTTCGCGAGGTCGAGCACAAAGTACGGCGTGCCCGACCCGGGCGGGAACGCGAAGCGCTCGAGCCCCGCGCGCCGCGTGCTCGTCGCCTCCATCTTGATGCTGTTGTTCAGCGTCAGCGAGAAGTAGCCTGGGTACGCGTCTGCGCGGGGAGGGCCGTCTCAGCTGCGTGCGGGAGGGAGGGAAGGAGGGAGGGACGCACCGTCGGTGTTGTTCAGCCGGTACCGCTCGCGGTCCTGCAGGCGCGTCGTGCAGGTGTCGAACCCGCCCGGGCAGAGGAGGGGCATGATCTCAAAGTTGCCGTACGTCCCTGTGGCGCTCGTTAAGTGCGCCCATCCCGCTGAGACACAGGACGGCCGGCGTACCGAGCGAAGAGCCCGTGCCGCTGTCGTGCAGCGGGCTGAGCCCGCGCACGGTCTGAGCCCGCGCACGGTCTGTGTGGGGTCGACAATGTACCCTGCCATGCGCGGTTTCGTGTTCGTCGTTAATATTCAGTCGATATATGCGCGCGGGCATGCTCACCGGCGGGGGCGTACCCGGTCATGTCGGTCGTGAACTTGACCTGCATGCACGTCGAGGGTTACTCCATGCGTCCTTGACGGAATGGATGAACTGACCATTCCGAAGGGCACCGAGGCGCCTGGACTTTATGGAAACACACATCAATTCCACTCCTACTATGACACAAGGATACAGTAGTACACACCATACATCCCCGTAGTTATCTACCCACCGCCCTCGATATCAACGCGTACACGAGGAGCAAGCCGCATGCGCACCTGTCCCGATGAACGGATTCACGAACGCGGTGTAGTTTGTGCTCGCAGTGCCGTTCGCGTGCGCCGCGGCGCGTATCGCGGCGGAGATCCTCTTCTGCACGTCGGGCGAGGGCTGCGCGCGCACGCTCGCCGCGACGAGGGCGAGCAGCCAGACAGCAGCGTTCCAAAGCCGAGGCATCTCTGGGGGGCAGAGTGGGGAACGCGTGGGCCGTCCCTCTCAAGGCCTTATACCCTTCGCAACCGATATACATAGCCCGGCATCACACTCTCGTACATTACGGTAGGTGTGCACATATGGGCAGCTTGGATGGAAGCCCGCGGCGCGTGTGCGCGAAGGAGAGAAGGCGCGTTGTTTGGGGTTGTGTGGGTTATATGCGCGTATATGCGCCTCGCGAATCAGGAAGAGGGCGTGTGCGAATCATGGCGGCCAGGAGCTACAACAATACGGTGGTGGGACGGTATGATGGCCATTGATGGGATACTTGATTCTAATCAACAGCCCCCCTGAGCACCTACAGTCCCGAGCAAGCAAAGGCAACAAATTGATTTCTGACCGAACACGCGTTTTTGGTGGGAAACCGAGTTCAGGACTCACGGAGGCTGGAAACATCCAAAAATGAGGTCACCTTATTTTTCCCATGACTTTTTTGATACAGCCAAGATTTTGGGCCATTTCAACGACATTCTACACAGTCACTGGACCTCCCAGGTCCCGCCCTGAGCCTTTGGGGACTTGTAAACCCTTGCATGGAGCTGCATCTAGGCTTTCGAAGACCGTGGATGTCCTTCTGAGGCCCACAGAAGTTCAAATTTATGACACACATTACCTTGATTGCCATATTTGCCCTGCACTTATGAGAGCTATTATGGCATATTGGCTGGTCCAATTATTAGATTTACAGTGGTGTGCAAAAGTATTGCACCACCCTTCATTGACTTGTATCTCGGGAAGGACTTCATCTTTTCCTTTGGTTTAAAGTGTAAACATGTAGTTTACCTTCTTTTGCATCACATTAGTAACTGTCATAATGCAGAGTCCATTTCTCAAAGGGTACCATTTTCAACTTTTCATTATTATCCTGATGAAGCTGTGGTTACCAGGGCCGGAAAGAGCATAAATTTCTTTTGATGCCAAGCACACCTCAATTGACTATGATACATGGTTGTAGAGATATGGGCCCTGGAAGTAGGGGGTTTTGGTGTAAAGCTCTGAACTCTTACCCTGAAATGCCAACTTCCTGGCTCCATATCTCAGCAAGCGTGCAGTCAATCCCCATGATTCTGGATTCAAAAACACTCAGAATTTTGCAAAGATTTCTGGCCTGCCACTCAGACAAACGGATAATTCTAATTAACAACCCCCCTGGAAGCAACAACCCTGGGTTGTTTGCTTACAAATCATCAATCCCCCAAGAACTGATTTACTGTAAATAATATGTTTTTGTCACTTTTGTCACTGCCCTATCAGTAGACGAGTTCCTAATACTAGTACCTCACATGTATTCAGCTGGTAACACGACTGTAGATGTGCTAAAATAACTAGAATCAGTGCCAGCCACTACACTGTGGCAGAGACTGATGTCCCACTGGCGGACATGCCAGGAACATCCCCCAGTTGGGAGGACACTTTCCTAGAATGGTCCTTGCTGGACCATAACCTGGACATGAAGAATGTCCTTTGAGTGAACAAAGAAAGGTCTGCGGGATATTTAATATGGTCCCCAAAAATCAGGGGACATTTAATCAACATTGTCCTTTCATGTTTTATGTCTGTATCATGTTCCGCTATGGAGCATCCTAGGAAAGTGTTCTCCCACCCTTGCTGTGAAATATGAATGTCCGATGGCAGGACACCGGTTCTTGCCCGCTGTGCTACCAGCTGCAGCACAATTTGCTGATGCCCGCAATGGTACCGGTACAGAGGCATCGAGAAACGCTTACTGACTGGGCTGGGGCACTTTGTAAGTCCAAATATCACCAGTCTAGGTGAATCCTGTGACCCAACTGTGAGAACCACAAACCTGTATACCTGGCACCGCGGGTTGCGGTATGGCGCGGTGTGGATGGTCCAAGCACCGCACCCGCACCCAAGCAACCCCCGGCTTGAATACCGCGGTGGCACCCGCACCCAACCTTAGTAGCCTTGACTGGGAGAGCCTCAGCCTAATATTTTTATATGTAGCTATGTACATAGAGTGAAGTCCAAGTAAACCGATGTAATGCAGACTGATAGAGTATGATGTCACATGTGACCACTGATGGACAACCAGGGTTGCTGAGGGATTGTTGCTCCCAGGGGGGTTGTTGATTAGAATTATCCGACAAACCATACAGGAGATAAAATTTGACTACAAAAACTTATTTCCCTCCATAAACTTGGGAAAGTTCTCATTGCAGGAATGGTTGGGACAGGTGGATAGAGCTCAAAGGGGGCTACAACTTCCATGTTTACACCAAAGAGATCTATTCAGTCCTTGTCAAGATATAGCAGAAATAATGCTTGAAAAGAGGTGGTGCAATCCTTTTCATGCCACTGTAAGCTGGAATCAGACTCGGCTCCTTTAAAGGAGTCGATTGGCAGATTTTTGCATTTTCCTGATTTGTTTTGTATATGGCCAAGATTTTGGCCCATCCCGACCTATTATTGAAGGCTACAGGGGGTTTATGGGAAATCAGCTCATGCCAATCTCTTCCTTAGAGTCTAAAACACCCATTTCTGCAATAAAATCAAGGTTCCCATGGTAGCTGGAGTGGCTCTATCTTACCAAATGTGGCAATACCCATGAGGATGGAGCATTAGCTGACCTTCTGTGGGTAGCCATCCCCTATGTCAAACAGAAGTGTGGGGTGCCACTGAGCACAGCAGTGACTGAGAGCTGGAGTTCAGCTCAGACCGGTACTGACCCATACTGCTGTCCACAAACACTGGGATAGTCAGGGACAAGGTCCATCATTAAAGGGACATACATAGGGAAGTGTTTACCACCATTTATGGCTATCATGCATCGATGCTGTGGTATAGCCACATGTCTGTGTTTTTTTGGTATGTCTGTAGCCATTTAGTACTATATATATACACTAACTCAGGTGGCACAATGGTACATAGCATTGAGCACTCGAGCTCATATCCCATTGTGAACTTTCAGTGTAATTTAAGCAGGCTATGTTAGCCTTCTGTAGTACATAATGAGTGTGGCAAGTAGGCTAATAGTAACAAGCATAGCAGAGCCCATGGTACTAGTAATGCTGTTTTCCCTTTGCACTCAACCAGGTCTGGCTACCCGGGGGTGGACCAGTTCAACTACACTCACCTGATTGGGTCACAATCACTCAGACGTGATGGTCAATTATGTGACTGGTCTGATCTCACAGACCAGCTCACTTACATGGATGTATGCACCTGGCAAACAGGTGTACCTGGTACCCAGTGATAATTTCAGCCAATGAGGGTGCTTGGACTGAATCTGCTCCTGTTGAATAAACCCCTGGAGTACCTATGGAATGTGGCTAAGTTGCATTTTCAAAGATCAGACATCCTGGAGGCCTATCACTGGTAGGGGGCACCTAGAGTTATCAAACACTAGACTGAGTCTGAGTCTGATTGGATTGATGCAAATAGAGTTAATAAGAGAGTCAAGCATCACATGCATGATCAAGGATGCAAGGAGCTGACAGTAAGTTATAACAACAATGGAATCTAGAAAATGCTAAGGTCAATGAGTTCAAACTCTGAGGGATGGTGAATGCCAAGCATAAACACACCTTCCCTCAGACTATTGCCAGACCAGTCTGCGGGCTGTTATAGTGTATTATCTGGGGCTATGCTGATAGTCAGTTGCTAGATAATAAATATCATCTTGTCTACAAAGAATAACGAAAGAGGGAGTCACCCACGTGGAAAGCACATCCACGCGTCCGGTACCGGATATGGTCACCCACCCAGGAGTCATACGCGCGCGTACATATAAGGCGGTAGGGCCGTGCGAGCAGCAGAGCCCGCTACCGTAGACATAGATAAGATTTGGTAGCAAGCTGAAAACTTGACATCCTGAGCAGCATCATATACTAATATATTTATTTTGCGAAAGCAGTTGTGTTCCAGCCATGATTTCTGACTGAGCATTCACCTCAACGATTTGAAGAGATGTCCACTCACTCCTCCCTCAGGTTCTGAGTATACAAGTCATTTATGTAAAACAGATGACATTGAAGTATGCTGCTTTCACCTGGAGACCGCATCTCCAACGCCCCAAGCTAGGTCATGTCTGTTCTCGAGAGTCCCTTGACCAGCATCCGCCACCTTCGCTAAAGATGGAAAGAGAGATGCCACGTGGTTTTACAATCGGGGTCCTCTGAGGACCCCATCTTTGATTGGTCCAAAGCGGTGTGCCGGTCCTGCCGTCCGCCATATACGGTTAAGAGCCAAATAGTGTCAAATAGATCGCGTAGATCTTGAAACGATCGCAGGAAACCTGCGAACGGCGGGGGGGTCCAAGACCCACTACCTACGGTAGCGGGAATACGCGTCGATACCCTCATCCATCAGCTCTCAGTGAACTCAGACTAGTAAAATGGTCGTCGCCGGTACGCGCATCCTCGTCGTTGGGCTAGGCAACACGCCTCTGCCCGGGACTCGTCACAGGTACGCCACTTGTCTTCGCCGTCGCGTGAAACTTTGCAATGACGGTGATATCATGCAGCGTCGGCCACCTCATCATCGACGCGCTCGCATGCAAGCTCGGCGTCCGCCTCTCCTCCGAGCGCGGCGGGTTTACGGGCACCACCACCATCGACATCGGGTCCACGCCCGTCACCATAACCCTGTTCAAGCCCAGTAAGCCTTGTCCCCGTCCTCTTCCCCTTCCTCCCCACCTGACCTCATCCACAGAAGCCCTCATGAACATCTCCGGCCCGCCCGTTTCCGCCGCCCTCCGCAAACACGCCCTTCCCCCCTCCTCCCTCATCGTCATCCACGACTCGCTCGCGCACAAGCCACTCACGCTCTCACCAAAGTTCGGCGGCTCTGCGGGCGGACACAACGGCGTGCGCAGCATCGTTGCCGCGCTCGGCAACGACGCCGGCTTCCACCGCCTGCGCGTCGGGATCGGGAGGGGCGGCGACGCGGCAGACTACGTGCTGGGGAGGCTGGAGGGAAGGGAGCGCGCGTTTTGGGAGGGCGAGGGAATGGAGAGGGTATGGCGGGAGATCGAGCGGGTCGCGAGCGGGGCCGTGAGAGGGTGAAGGCACCGGCGCCCATGCAGAAGGGGTGGGCATATGTGCCTATGCGCGTACCTCTGCCCGTGGTCGTGCGTCTCACTTTCTCTCTGCAAGGGCCCGGCGCGCTGATAATCCGCGGTCGCGTAACCGGAAACCATGAATGAGTATCGTTTCCACTCCCATGCCCCTTCCACCCCCCCTGAACGCATATATCGCCAGCGGGCCCGAAGGGATGCGCGCGCGGACCCGGCGTTTAGTGGTTCGTACAGGGCGCGAGCACGAGCCGAACGGGTGTTGGGGTGGTCGCGGGTTGGAGTCAGTGCATGGTGTGAACATCACCGGCGCCCTGCGTATTCTGGGACACTCGAGGCGGGATGTAGAGGGAGATTGATGTGTTCGCAGACGCGAGGACGAAGAGATGAGGCTAGGATGAGAGGGAATCCCTTTCCCGTGAAGAAGCAAACGCGTACGTATACCTCTACTCCCGTGCCCGCGTCTAATATAGCTATCGATTACCGCAGCTTCGTCTCTGTAAGGCCGAGCGTTCTGATATCGCGCCGGTCTCGTAACCCCAGGTCCTATGATCAGCACTAGTGTTCCGGGAGAAAGTCTCTGGATAATTCTGATCAGCAACCCGGTTGGAAGCAACAACCGCGGGTTGATTGCTTACAAATTATCAACCCCCGCCTTTGCTCAACCAGCTGTAAATATTATATTTCTGTCACTTATGAGGAGGTACCGCTGAGAACTCTAGGTCAGTGTCAGGAGCAATCAGCCCATCGGAGCCACCAGACACCCTCTGATGAGTGGTTCACACACTCCAGAGACTTGTCCAGCATCCAGCCCCGGAGATCTCACAGACTGCACTGTTAGCTAAAGTTCACTAACAGCGGAAAGCACGGTATTTCCTTTGCACAGCCTACTCCTCAATGTACATGTGGGGAGTACCGGTTCATGACTACGTATTTCCGTTGTATACCTACCACTATATCCATGGACTCCGATGGAGTCTGCAAAAGTAGCAATTGGGACCCAGCTGGTTCTGAATCCGGTTGTCCTCCAGTCCAGAGACCGGCTATGGATCACTTTACCATGAGTCCAGCACGGTTGGCAGAAGCACTGAAGCCTGAAGGTCATGCCAATCAATAGTTGCACTTGTTATGTTGGAAAAGCACAAAAACCCTGATCAGGCCTGACGAAGCCTGACAGCCTGATAAGGTATGACCATGCCTTATAAGGCTTTGTATTCGCACTGATCATGCTCTTGTCAGGCCTTGTCAGGCTCAATCTGACATGAACAGCTGGGAGCACCTTCGCCTTTCGCAGGTCCAGCTACTATTCCCTTGTTGTAATTTTCTATCAATATGAATTGTATTCAGTCTAGGATAGAACTACAGCACTATAGCAGCCCGACCAGTGTCACCCATAAGCCTCCGTATGGGAGTGAGATGATGTATAACCAGGTTATGTGGCTGTGTAGGGATTGCGTGTTGGTGTAGTGGTGTACTCATAGCAAATATTTTCACAAGTGAAATAACATGGTAGTGCAGTGTCGAATTCTGCCTAGAATAACATCCCTCATAGTAAATAGCTTGCAATTGAATAGGCTACAAGGTATACGTAGGCTCCACAATCAATGTCAAAGTGATAGTTAGGTAGTCATCAGAATGGAAGGTGGTAGTACTAGTCTTTTCTTATTATATTTTGCAAAAAGCCTGATCAGGCCTGGTCAGGGTTTGTCAGGCTGATCAGGGCTCATAAGGCTGATCACAACATATAAGGAGTTTTTGAATCTGACCAGGGGGTCCCAAACCTGACAGTCTGATCATGCCTGGCCAGACCAGATCACTTATGATATGGCATTTTCGATTTTTCCGACATAGGTTCAATGTCCTGTAGATGGACACTGTCCATGAAATAAATGACACACCATTACTTGGGAATCCAGGTTGCAGAATGATGCCATGGTTTGTTATGGGGTTGCTGCCTTCAGTCGGATTGCTGATTAGAATTATCCCAAGCTTCTGCCAGTTGTACACATTACACTTGGTTGCTTAGACTTTACTCTAGGTACATAGCTACAATGAGGATGATTAATTAATGGAGGCTCTCATGGCTGCTGACTGCTGAAAGTGAAGCAATGTGTCACTGTATGAATGATGGGCCCAATACAGAGGGGGAAGTTCAACTATGACCACAAGTACTAGTGCCAGATGTCCCTCAAGCTCATGTAGTGACCCTTGGACTGGCACCCAAGATATCCCATAACAATACTCTAAGATGAACCACAGTCTAACTCCTACATACCACTGGCAGGAACACACTATGATGCATTGCCCATGACAAGTAAGGTTGAGTAGATTTTTACCATCATTTTTCATCAACTAACATGAAAACATCCCACCTGGGCTGGGCAGACTGGGACCCATGGTTTCATCGAACTGATACTGTATTGGGAGGTCCTAGTAGCAGCTCCTGGACACGGACCAGTTGCATTATACAAGGTACTAGTACAAGGAATGTTAGTGCACAGATATATCAGTATGTACTAGTGACAAAAGTGACAAAGCATATAATCTTAGTCTATAATAAACTAGCAGTGGCCCACTCATTCTTCATTGATACCCGATTTTTGGGATACTATGACTGCAAAAATTGTAACCATAGTATAGACCCAACCATAAGATGATGTCCCAAATATAATTATGGGTGCTCCTCCACTGCCAACTGAAGATTGGCAGCTTTGTTGCCCCAGTGTCTTGTGTGCAGTTGAAGGCACAGAAATAGCTACAGAATGGCACTACCATAATTTACACTGATAGAAGTAACATACAAAATTGAAATCAGTGCTTCTCCACTGCCAATCTTCAATTAGCAGCTCTGTCACACCCATTTCTTGTACCAAGTCAGAGAATAAACAATAATGGCTACAGGCCACAGGAAAAAGACTCCAAACAGGCTGCAGCAGAAACATAATGCTTGTCCACTGCCAATCTTCAATTGGCAGCTCCCTCGCTGTTTCCCTAACCAAGCTGAAGAGGTCAGCAGCAGTTGCTGAATGTCTTGCATGGGAAAGTTGTCATGTGACATAGTTACCAGAAAGGGTACTCAAACAGTACCAGAGTAACTGGGAGCAGAGGCAGAGTGGAAGTTACAGACATGAATGACTTGAATGTCTCTAGGGGTCATATAAATGTGACTAAACCAAAGAAACTGGGGTTCCAGAGGCAGCAGAGGTTGAAAGATGCATGCCCGAGATGCCCAGTTTGTCTTTTGACTCACGTGACCAGCGTGATGTGTATTATAGATAAGTTCTTGATGATTGGTAAGCAAACAACCCAGGCCTGGGGTATAGTCCCAGACAACCAAAGACAACAAATTTGGTGATTGCAGAGGCTCATGTACAACTACCATCACATGACTCTTTTTGTTACACTTGGTGGGACAAACACCAAGATTGCCTTAAACCTCCAGACACAAACAGAAAACACCCAATATTTTTATAGGAATCAAAGGTACAGTACATAGAAACAGTTCCTATAAAAAGCATCTGAGAATTTTGACCTACCCATCTTATAATAAGCTGAAGTGTGGTCAATTCTATCGATGAGTTTGTTGATTTCCATACACTGACCTGCCATATATGGATAAAACATGTGATTGTCACAGTGTGACCATAGTCGCTGTACATGAGGTGGCTCTATCTTAGGTTGGTTCTTTTCCTTCCTGCAGCTCACAGGCAAAAATTGTTATGGTTTTACAATGAGGTCTATTTCTCCCATCAAAATTGATCACTTGGTGTGATCACATCACTGGCAACACCTTGAAATTAGGGAAGATTTAATGTTATGGGAAGTCATCCACTATAATCACAGTGCAACCAAACACAATCAAATTCTCCTCAGGCTCTCTCCATGGCAATCATATGTTCTCCACTTTTGACATGTTTCAATAGTAGAACATGTTGCTCCCATGGAGATTAAGCATTGCTGTGGATGTTCAAACTGTACTCGAAAAGGATATCCTTTCAGTTGTACAGAACAACCTCAACAGATGACATAGACCCAGTATTGGGGTGCTCAATAATGCCCCTGCTCTGCAGGGGTTGCTGGGACCTCAAAATGCATTTTCCCACCCTACATCGGCTGATCCCAGCCACACTATGATACCACTGCAGCACTGAGTGTCAGCAAACAGCACAAAGCCCAATGCAAAGATACTTACAGCGTGTTGCAAAATGATGCGGAATTGTGAAATCCGCGCTATATGACCCAAATGGCAGGCGCCGCATACGGCACCACCGGAGCACCACTCTTCCCAATCAACAAGAGCCAAAAATAGAGGCACGTGATACCAAGCCCTCTGAAATGAAAGTCGCCTAAGTGCGCCTAACGCGACCCTTGGTTATGTCGCCAAACGTCCTTCATTTCTGTCCTCCCTGCTGGAAACGTTCTACGCAATCAAAGCCGGACTGACGCAGTCGCCACTCAACCTACGTCAGCGTCTTCCAATGGTGTCCACACTCTGCCGCATATAAGACCTGAATTATGGACGAAATTTCACGCTGTACACGCTATGGTAGACTTGCGACTCCCGAGTGACTTCGACGACGATCCCGTGCCCCCCTATCAGCCTTTTCAGCCGGATGAGTGGCACGAGGATGCAGGCCCAGCAATCGACTATAATGACGTGAACCGCCGATACGAGAGGACGCAGTGGTGGCTCAATATGCAACCTATGCGTCCCCCTAGTGGTGTAGACCTCTCTGGCCCGCCCATTCCTGTCAAATGTAAGCACCTCACATACTGATCTAACGATCCTACTGATACCGGAATCACTAGTGAAGACTCTGCGTGTCTCCTTACTGTTGTGGACGACGACGAGGGAGCCTCCGTGGACCCGCGATACCATCACCGTGCAGAATGACTTGTCATGGCACGATTTCTCCGACCGTCTTGCGGCCAGGATGGAGATCGACCTGGATAGCACGGAACTTGGATGGAAGACTGAGGGCGCAAAGGCAGGTGATCCGTGCAGGATCCTCAAAGACGAATACAATATGCGGGACACCTTTGAAGAGGTCATCACAATGAATGAGAGAGCGCGGACGCGTGTGCGCGAGCTAATGGTGTATAACCTTGTAAGCAAGTGATTGCACTCATACGTACTAACTCACCTGGCCTGCATTTACAGACGGTGGAAGAGGAAGTGAAAGAGAAAAAGCAGAAGAAGAAAAGCAAGAAGAAGAAGGGCAAGAAGGGTAAAAAACGGCAGCGGGATGATTCATTGGACAAGTCGCAACCCGACGAGTCCGAGACATACCTAGCTTGCTTTCGACAGCTCAAAGAAGCTCTCGCGTGTCAAGACAGTCACTGCAAGAACAAAACTCATGGGAAGATTCAGTACTGTTGGGTGAATCCGAGGACAACTGACCATGATGCAGTTTCCTTGGCACAGCTGACATTCTGGGCACGGGAAATGGTACGCAATCCACCCATACACATGTTCCTGGCTGAGCAATGAATTTTGTACTCAGAAGGACGCACCTCGCCGACGAAACCGCCGGAGGCTGACATCTTTGATACAATCAATACGGTCCATGTCCGCGGACGAGCACGTAAGTGCGCCCGTCTGGAATCCCCCCTTGCCGAATCCTCCAACGCAGCAACGATGCAAGAGCAAGCTACCGATGATTCGATGATCCGATACCCAACCATATCTGATCTGCTTGCCAACTTACTATGAGCAGTATCCAATCCTTGATTACCCTCAGTACGAGGACGTTCTACGAGGCCAGGGTATTGCGTACGTCAAGAATGTGGTACGGTTTGATAGTGGCTTCTTTGAGGAACAGTGTGGGCTGCCACCCGGTGTCATTCCTGACCTCCTGGATCGGGCGGCGGTGATGGTGCGCAGAGCGCAAAATGGTGATGGCAGAGCTTCACCTGCTTATGACAAGGAAAACACGCCTGCCAATGCTTGACATTGTGACAGGCCCGTGTCTGTACCATCCCTGTAATTTATTAGTTGTATTTATTTGCCACATGATGCCAGTCAAAAATTTTGATTGTACTGTCTAATCCACATCATAGCCCGAATGTGTAAACCAGCCTTTGGCCATGTCAGGTGTAACAGAGAAGACGGCACGCCATATCATAGTGTACGGATTGCAAGATGGCTCCTTAGATAGTTCACCCCTCACGTACTCCTGGTTTCTCCTCATCCACCCCTTGACGTATGAAAACATCTCTTCAATCAGATTGAGATCTGGCGAGTAGCAGGGCAGATAGACAAGTCGGCATCCCCTGGAATATGTGAAGTGGTAGAGTGCGAGAATGTAATATGTATTGACTCACTTTGCTTCGACCATTTCCCGCAGTTCATTGGATTTGTGGATACTGTGGTTATCCATAACGATAACTGAATTCTTGCCCGGGAATGGGTTCATATTCTCTAACAACCCCGCTATGAAATTATTGAATGATGCCGCATCGTACGCGTATGGTTGGACGTGGAGATGCAGAACTCCATCAAGACATAGCACATCGGACAACTCAATATATGATGCTGACCTGAACCCGGTCGTGAATGTCAAACCGTAAGAAGTAATATACAGCCAAAGCGATATGTAATACTCATTTTGAGATTGTTTAGTCCAGCAATAGACAGTAAGGAATATCAAATATGACATTAGCTGCCGTTAAGGGGAATATTTTTGCCCGTAGGCAACCTTTCTCTCCATGTTATATGTGATGACATATAACATATATGGGGACGGTTACCACCCGAGAGTTATAACTTAAGTATATAACGAGAGTGTACGCAACACAGTATTCCAAATATGGCTCAGCATATGGGTACTTGTGATATAATTTACCAGATTCACGCATCAGAATCCACTTCAGCCTGTGAACAATATGTCATATATGGCTTTCAATCGATATTGAGTGGGCCGCCGGCGGCAACAGGCGGCGCCACTCAGCGGCAACAGGCGGCGCCACTCAGCGGCAACAGGCGGCGCCCCTTTGCCGCTCCTACCTTGCATGCCGCTCACACTGATGAAATATAACTGAGCGGGCACATCAAGTAAAACCAGGCAAATTATTGCGTGATAAAATACAGAGAGTATGCACGAAAGTTATCACAACTGATTGTGAATCTACATGGCCAGTGAAGCCACCGCTGCGTCAAGTGTGAGAAGGGGGGGCAATGACAATACAACACTCGACGCGGTCTCGAGCCCTCTAGCGACACGCCTAGCACGAGGTAGGAAGTTTCTGAGATCCTTCCCCCATGCAGCCTGAGTAAGAGGCATTGCTGTACCGTTCCTGATGTCCACGAGTCGATCCTGATACCATATCTCTGCCCCAGTCGTCCAGTGCCCGCAAAATGGTACGGACTC